TTCGTAGAAACAATTAATAAAAATGTAAGGGCACTAACAAAATTAAATCAGCCCACTCAATATTGGGACACATTATTAATATATGTCATGACTAAATAGACTAGATTTGACAACAAGTCGTGACTGGGAAGAGCATAGAAACAATATTATAAAAGATGATCCTACTTTGATGCAATTTTGTTCTTTTTTAAGTAGGAAAGTGGATTGGTTAGAGTCTGTCGAGTCAAATATCAATAGTTCTCAGACTAATACTATTGTAGCTTTAAATAATAGTCATACATATAAACATTCTAATTCTAAAGTCACTCAAGTTAATAAAAAATCAGATAATAATTTTAATAAGATAAATAAATGTCCACTTTGCTCCCAGGCTCATACATTATATAAATGTGAATCCTTTAGAAATTTAACTATAGAGGATCGCATAAAAAAGGCAAATGATTACAATGTTTGTCTTAACTGCCTGCGCGTCTGACATTCTGCTAAGCAGTGTAAACTCACACATTGCAAATATTGCAAAACAAAGCACAATACGCTTTTGCATTTAGAATCTAGTGAATCCAAACCATTTTCTAACCCATTGCCTTCTGCTATGTCTTCTGCTTTGCCTTCTGCGTCAAATATCGCACTATCAGCCAATTCCTTGCAGCTTGCTACTTCTGCGCATGTTTTACTGTCCACAGCTATGGTGAACGTGACCAGCAGGTCGGTTAAGAAATACACTGCGCGGCTACTGCTGGACAACGGTAGTACCGCCAACGTTGTTACACAGAGACTATCAGAGAAACTGGGTTTGTTACACCGCGGTACGAGCACCAAGGTAACGGGTATTAATATCACATATCCACCAGTACACAGTCTTGTCACTTCACAATTGAGTCTTTATGCTGTGCCTTTACTGTTGATATCGAGTGTCATATTTTACCCGAAATTACAAAGGTTCTACCGTCTTCATTCGTGCATATAAATCACGTCCATATTCCTTCAGGTCTACACTAGCAGACCCGAACTTTAATGTTCCGTCGGTCGTAGACATCCTGGTAGGGGCTGAGGTGTTTTGGAATGTCTTAGGCAGCAGAACTATAGATTTAGGGAAAAATCTACCTAAATTGTGTGAAACTAAATTTGGTTGGCTTATGTCCGATAGTATTTCGCATCAACCTAGTTCTGTTTCAGCACTCTATTGCCATCATTCCAACGTCACTCCAGACCTAACTCAATTTTGGGAGCTTGACAACGTGTCGTCAAAACATTCACTTTCTCTTGAAGAAAGAGTATGCGAACAACTATTTGCCCAAACCACCGTTCGTAAAAATGATGGTAGGTTTGTCGTGACGATGCCCTTAAAAGAGGACCCTAGCACTTTAGGCATTCGTATGAAAACGCAAAAAATCGTTTTCTATCCCTGGAGCGGCGATTTAAGCGCGATCCCTCATTCAAAACTAAATATTGTGAATTTATGAGAGAATATGAGCATTTAGGTCATATGACTTTAGACTCTGACTGTACTTCTACGACTAAAAACTCCGTGATCACATGTTTCATTCCACATCATGGAGTTATTCGTAGCTCTAGTACCACTACTCAACTACGCGCAGTATTCGACGCATCAGCCTCTACCAGTTCGGGCGTGTCTCTTAATGACATACAGGTGGTCGGTCCCGTAGTGCAAGACGATCTATTTTCCATTTTAATACGTTTTCGTCAACATAGATACGTGGTCTCAGGTGATGTAGAGAAAATGTATAGAGCCATTGAGCTAAGTCCAGTCCAACGTCCTCTACAAAAAATTATTTTTCGGTTTGATCCTTCAGAACCTCTTAGAACCTATACATTAAATATGGTCACCTATGGTACCGCTTCTGCTCCTTATTAAGCCACGAAATGCCTGGTAGGTCTGGCTGATAACATTGAGGATAGTCAGGTCCAGCGAGCCATACGACGTGACTTCTACGTGGATGACTATTTGAGCGGGGGAAACACCATAGCTGAGACTGTAGCAATTGCAAAACGGGTACAATCGGTTCTATCTTCTGCTAAATTTAACTTACGCAAATGGCGATCAAACCATCCTCAAATTCTAAATCAAATTATAAACAGTAATGAATCGTATAATACTCATACGTTGCATTTTTATGAGCAGGGTTTAAATTCATCTCAATCTAAAACTTTAGGTCTTAATTGGGCCTGCGATTCTGATTCCCTCACTTATACTATTAGCATAAAGTCAACCATTAAAGTCACTAAACGTCACGTCCTCTCAGTTATCAGTCAGATCTTTGACCCATTAGGCCTCGTAGGTCCGTGCGTTGTCGAAGCGAAAATAGTCATGCAGCGTTTATGGCTACACAACTATGACTGGGACGACGAAGTATCGCTCAAGGTCGGAAACCTTTGGTCGACATTCCAAAATACAATAACATCTTTAAATAGTTTAAAGATTTCTCGTTGGGTTTTGCATGAAGACTCTAGTACGCATGAAGTACACGTCTTCACCTATGCGTCCGAAAAAGCTTATGGCGCATGTGTGTACATTCGGTCATGCAGTAACAGTAAATCTATTGGCGTAAAACTTCTCGTTTCTAAAAATCGTATAGTACCCAACAAGCCGTGAACAATACCAAGGCTTGAACTGTGTGGAGCTTTGTTAGGTGCCAGGCTGTGTACTAAAGTTCAGGAAGCGCTAACTTTATCCATTCACCGATGTAGATTCTGGTGTGACTCAACCATAGTCTTGGGTTGGCTCTCTACTCCAGCCAACCAATTAAAACCTTTTGTGAGAAATAAAGTCAACGAGATACAGGAGAATACTTGTGGTCATATCTGGAGCTACATACCGTCGAAGGACAACCCGGCGGATTTTGTTTCCCGTGGTCTTAACGCTGACGTTATCAAGGACACACCTCTGTGGTAGTCCGGACCCTCTTTTCTGTTGCGTAATGAAAATGAGTGGCCTAAAATGCAAACACAGAGAAACATGATTTGCCGGATGTAGTGACTCATTTCACATGTAGTGATAGCGGCCATCATGTTGTTAGTAATCATTCACATTCAACCATATATTCATCTATCATTCATCGCTTATTAGAAAATATTCTAGTTTTCCAAAAATTCAAAGGGTGTTTGCATATGTACAAAGATTTACATATAATCTAAAAAATAAATTTCCGTAACAGAACTCCAAGATTCGTATAATGTAATAGTACATTATTCACAACTAGAAATGTTTTCTGAAGAATTTCATCTTTTAAAATCTAAACAAGAATTGCCACGCAATAGTAGATTGCTTTCTTTGACTCCGTTCATTGACGAACATAACCTCATCCGCGTGGGCGGGAGGCTCGACAACTCCCCCTACGATTTCAGTGTAAAACATCCCATAATAATATGTAGTAAGCACATACTTACTAAGTTTATATTTCAAATGAAACATTTAGAGCTACTACATGCCGGTCCTCAATTACTATTGTCACATATAAGGCAGACTTATTGGCCTATAGGTGGTAGAAACCTTTCCAGAAATGTCGTGAATAAATACCTTAAGTGTTTCAGACATAAGGCTCAAAGCGTTCAGCCTATAATGGGTCAACTACCTCAGTCAAGAACTCATCTTGAATTTCCATTTTTAAATTGTTATGTTGACTACGCTGGGCCAGTATTGGTGGCCGATCGCAGAGGTCGCGGCTGCAAACTTACAAAATCTTATATATGCATTTTTGTTTGCTCTGCAGTGAAAGCCGTACATTTGGAGCTCGTCACTGACCTCACCTCTGAGGCTTGTATGGCCGCTCTAAATCGTTTCGTGGCGCGTCGAGGCAAGCCTCAAAGCATTACGTCCGATAACGGGACAAATTTCGTAGGCACATCAAATGAAATGCATAGCTTCTTGCACTCATCGAGTGTTGCACCTGAAATAGCACAACAGGGTATCGAATTTATTTTCACGCCTGCTTACAGCCCACATTTTAATTCACTAGCTGAGGCTGATGTTAAATCTTGCAAGCATCATTTAAAAATACTCTTAAAACTTACCCATTTTACCTTTGAGGAGATGGCTACTTGTCTTACGCACATAGAGGCGGTCTTGAATTCGCGCCCTCTTACTCCTCTCTCTTCAGACCCTAATGATTTTTCGGCACTTACTCCCGCTCATTTCCTGATTGGACGACCACTCTTATCTGTACCACATTCCCAGGTGACTGATGCCAACATCACGCGACTGGATCGCTGGAGGAGAACACAGTACATCAGACAGCATTTCTGGAGCCGCTTTCATAATGAATACATCTCTCTGCTGCAGGCCAAATCCAAGTGGTTTTATTCCAGAGGTGAAGTGAAGCCGGGGTCTTTAGTTCTTATCAAGGACAAAACAACACCACCGCTGCTCTGGTCCCTGGGCCGGGTCATGACGACCTATCCTGGCGTAGACGGAGTCACGCGAGTGGCTGAGTTGAAGACGAAGCGAGGTATCATTCGTCGTGCTGTTAACTGCATCTGCCCTCTACCAATTGAAGATTGAAGACGTCTCTTCAACCCGGGGAATATGTCGGCGCACGTCATCGCGCCTCGGCCAAAATGATGGACACGTGGGAGCGCGGACCGGTCGCTGACCTCGCGGCAGCGCGAGCGCTTCCGTACCTCACTCAGCGGCGAGACGTGGTAGCAGACGGGCACTTTATTTTTCAATTTATAATATGTTTGTTTAGAGGTTTTACGGCATTAAACCTGTTGTTAATATAGTCCACTCATTTTATTTCTAAAGTCCCGATAAGGCCTAAACAAGTGGCCTATCTAGTATCGAGTATATAGGGATCTAAAACTTTTAGTGTCACTCTCGTATAGTATTCTAGAAACTGATAAACTAACTTCTGAATTAAATGACATTGTGTTACAAAAAACTTCAGCTCAGTCCGAACTAGCGATACCTGGTGAGCAAAAGACATTGTATATAAAGAAGTCAGTTGACGGGATCATGACGTTATTAAGCAATTCTTTCTAACCTCAACAATTTCTCCAATTTTGAACTTGTCTAAAATTGCTCTGGCGTCGGACGAGTGGCCGACGTCGTTGAATGGATTCGTGGCGTCCTTACCGGCATTTTCTAGTAACACGTCTCCACCGGGATGCTGCAAAGTAGGAATTTTTTTAATCACATCAAATCAAAAAAATGATTTAAAAAAAATAACTAAAAGTTATCCTAGTGTTAATACTCGTAATATTATTAATGATATAATATATTTAATCCTACGCCTGGCTGAGAGTCCGACGCATGCAGACAAATCCAGTGCCTCAGCAATGGAGAAACCCACCTTAGCAGCGAGGCGCTTCTCTTGCGAATGATGATTGCGGCGAACATAGCCGATGCACTGCGGCGTACTGTCAATGAAAACGGTTCCTCACTTTAAATGTTTCTCCGGTACCGTGGTTCGTGGTGCACGAGTGTTTTTGTACATAAATTGCTCATGTACGTATAGCGTACACCCGGAATCGGGACAACAAATCTTAAGCGTAAGATAATCTATTAGTCCATTTCGTCCAATAACGACATAGTCATCTTAATTGCGTCAGATGAAATAAATCCAGACCGGTGACGGAAGCAGCGTCACAGGTTGTTGGCATATTGTACGTGGTAGAGCCACGCTACAGCTTTACTGTGGTTGTACACGAATGGGTCGGCTCGACCGAGATAGTACCACACTCTCACAGAATACTAGCGTAAAGTAGCAGCTTTATGCTGCTGTATATTGTATTGCGAGTGTTGAGAACCAGAACTCTTTATACTGGTAACGAGGCATTCCATCTTAGTCCTCAGGGGTGACAACGCATCTACATTTTGATTCTTAATCGAGGATAAATGTAGATTGTCTATGGGCCACAGCGACCACTTACCATCGAGTGAACTGTGTACTCGTTTGTCACACTATCCTATAAAAAATCTGGACTTCTTTCAGCCAGAACCCCACTACGGTTACCATCAGCGTTAACTATGGTCACCATCAGCGTTGATTATGGTCAAATACGCGTCAGTACCCACCTTTGTTTAAAATGAGTTGCACGTGTCTATTAGCTGCAGGAACCACGTAGCTTCAGGGAGTACTAAAACAAAAAAATAAAAATTTCAAAGTCGATCATGAATAAAGCTAAACTTTTTCGGCGTCATTTTAAACCGCTTAATTCGAGTGGTGTACTACTTCGTAACTTTCTATGAATAAATGAATATACGGAAGAATTTAAATGCCTCCTTTTGCCTTTTTGTGAAAAAAATAACCAAAAGTTTGCACTTGAAGTACGAAATTGAAGCGTAAACTGTGTGAACAAACAAAATGGCAGTGCGTAAATGTTACGTAACCATACATGACCTTATTCCGTGGAGAAATCCTCATGGTTAATTTGCTGTGAGTGCAATGGGAGGGTGCGTGGTAGAACCATGCTGCAGTTATATTAGTAGTATAGTTTTAGTACGAATGGGTCAGCTAGACCGCGGAAGGACCACGCTCTCACAGAATATCAGCGTAAAATAGTAGCTTAATGCTGCTGTGTTTCCAATGGTGAGTGTAGAAAACTGGAGACCCTTTTTACTGGAAACGAGGCATTCCATATTATTCCTCACGGGTGACTGAGTATCTGCATTTTGATTCTTAATCGAGGATATATTTATCAGGGCTACAGCATCAACTTACCATCAGGTGGACTGTGCGCTCCTTTGTCACGCTTATTCTATAAAATAATATGTCTTATACCTGGCTGATATAACTGGTGACGTCATATACGGAGTCCTTATAGATTATCCACACGGGGCTGTTGTTCCGTCCAGTGCAGGACGCGACGTCCGCGCGCTTGTACTGCTTTAGCTCACCCATCCTGCAACAAGGGACCGATGTTTGCGTTTCTTTCATTTCACACGTATATGGAGAGGTTTATTATAATCGTTGTAAACCGTCATCGACAGTCGAGTTAGACGCAAAGAGAGGCTAACAGATCGGCTTTCTCCTTTGAAACATGAGCCAGTGAGTCGTCCTCTCTGTGCAGAGATAGAGGAGATGGTTGACAGACGTTCCCTTGGACAGGCTTGGTGAGAGACCAGAATACACAGGTTCCCGAAGGAATGCGAATTCTGCGATGCTTTTGGCGTGAAATAGGCGACGGCTTCTCGCCAATTCTGCCGATGTGCTCAGACCTTGCCTTGGAAATGACCTTTTAAAGGACCTGGAGGCGGAATTATACTTCTTTTAGGGGCAATGGTGTTTATATCCCGGGACGTTGATTCGTCAGCCCAGGCCCGGTAGGACCTCTCCAAAGTATTCCAATTTGTACCCCGGGTAGGAGTGATACGAAGTATCAGCCGTAGAGGACACCTGTATCTCTGTCAGGAAAAGCAAGGCCGGCTTACAGAACACCGGCAGTTCACGCCGGTATTCTGTGAGGCCGTGGTAATAACACCCCGGCTCGAGCTGGCCCATACGTGCAACAGCAAAAGCTGCCGCGGGGTTCTACCACTGTTAAAGTTGCTATTAAGTAAATGTGATATTAAGTATTGGGGAAGTTTGTGATAACTCCCAGATGAATTAAACTGGTAACTCAGCTGTCTAAAGCGATTTGGTTTTCTGGCTTTAAAACAAGTCACAGAGAACGCAGATATTATAATATTTTAACTGCGTATGAAATCTTAATTATCTGAAAGTAAGACACTTAATGCTCAATGTTATCATTTAATAATTTATCTTTATATACACAAAATATTAGCGTAAAATAGCAGCTTCATGCTGTGTTTCGTGTGGTGAGTGTCTGAACCGAAGACCTCTTTTACCAGAAACGAGGCATTCCATCTTAATGCTCAGGAGTGACAACGCATCTGCACTTTAATTCTTTGTTAGGATAGATGTAGATGTCTATGGGAAACATCATTCGCTTACCATCCAGTGGGCCGCACGCTTGTTCGTCATTCTCATTCTTTATAAAAAACGCTGTGAATACGTTTCTTGTAAGCTTTCAACGCATATAAATGGCTACTGCTACACCAACAGAACAAGGGATATGGCGCTGTTTTATGGCAGACACGGAGATTCGACAACAAATATTGCTCTCAAAATAAACTTGTTAGGTATATCATGCCTCATAAAATTGGATTTATTAAACCTAGATTATTCAAGCAATAAAAAGTAAATAAAGTATTAAGTACAAAAGGCGAAATAAAACTAACGGCTTCATGCAAGATTGGAAGCGTGATTATATTATTTTAGTAACATGTCTCTACGGAAGAAAAGGCAAATAAGCATATGGCTCCCCTTATCGTAAGGAATCACTGTCGTCCACGAACATCTGCAACACTGGAGGAGGAATTACATGTGCGTTGCCGGCTATTTAGAAAGGAGTAAGCCCTAGAGTATACATAAGCTTGCTTATGAACTGCTGAGGAGTAAGCGATTTCCTTAGATAGAACTATTATTTTGTTACGAAATTATTTATTCTTTTGTTTGGAATAGAACAGAATAGAATAATTTTACAATATGTAGATAAGATTAAAGTTTAGAATTCTTATTTAAAGTCATTTATACGTGGTGGAGCCACTGTGAAGTATGGTTGTGGTACAAATGGATCGACTCTGTCAGGACAAGACCACGCTTTCCCAGAATACCGCGTAAAAAAGCAGCCTAATGGTGAGTAGAAAACTGGAGACCCTTTTTATTAGAAAAGAGGCATCCCATCTGATTCTTAATTGAGGAATAATGTAGATGTCTATGAGTCACAGTATTCACTTAACATTAGGTGGACTGTCTGCTCGTTTGTCACCATTATGCTATGAAAAAATTTGCTATTGCCACTGGTTTGGAAAAGCCTACGTCTTGGTCAACACCAGCAACAAACTCACCAAACTCTTGTAAAATATTAATTTACAATATATGCTGTGTTATTTACAGTTTACAATTTGAATTCCCTCTCCTATGGGCCCTAAGTACGTGAAATGAAGGCGAAGGAGAAGCAGCAGTATGTGATATGTGACAGTGCGACACTGCATGGACGTTGAACTGAATTGCAGATGCGTTTACGGCCTAAGGAGTAGTTTTTTTTTGCAGGTCCTTAAGTAAATATAACGTCAATCTATCTTACACCTGGATAATTTTCGTACTCTTGCTCTGTACTAGGCTACCCATTGTGGCATTACTGAGCAAACATTTTAACACTTTGATACACCCAGTCAACTTCGTATCACTGACTGGACTATACCACTGTCCAAATTACGACGGAATCAAAGGCTTGTATATATGATATATGGTACTAGTCTTGGAAACTGGCATGTTCAGGAGGCTATAAGTCGACAAATCTGCTGACTTTCGAAAACAGCACTTAGACGTGGTTTACAAGGCAAATCGGTCCTTAATTCTTCAACAAAGCATAGCCGTTGCGTTTTCTGCTCCACGCCTCCAGAGTAGCACCAACATTGAGGAAGGTACGGTCCGAAGTACTTCAAGAACTAGTTTTCCATTCTCACCCGGCTATAGAAAATTTAAAAAGTCTAAATACATCCAACTTGTGGCTGGACACAATTACCCTCCCATTTTTGTTTGGGTTATGGAACACTCGTCCACTCCTAATCTCTCAGATGATGTCCCTTTCAACTATGAAAGATTGAAAAACAACTTTTTTTTGCATCCTGTGTTCACTTACTAGATGCATAGTTTCGTACAAACATATGGGTATTATGTAGAAATTAAACAATATTATAAAAAATGTGTGACTTCAGCCGAATTATATTCTTAGCTTCAATTTTTTTTTTCAAGGAATAAAGGTGGCAAATGACACACAATTTACCTGATGTTGTTGCCGTGGTCCACAGACACATGTATCTATCAGTACCAGTACAAAGGGTCTCCGGTTCTCTACACTCACCATACGAAACACAGTAGCGTAAGCCTGCTATTTTGCGCTCGTATTCTGTGATCGAAATTCGTATTCGTTCAAGAAGTAAATTCCTGAGGATTTTTTGTCCGTCAGCGGAAATCTAAAAAGATACAAGCAATCTCACCTGTGTCTATAGCGTGAAGTATTAGCGGGCGAACTGCGCGTGCGTTGAGTCGGTCGGTCAGTCCGTCGGATGTGGCGCTCCTTGCATGTCTCAATATCCAGCTTATCGAACGATAAGCAATCGCAAGATTAAACGTAATCATTCATAGTCATTTACACTTTAAAAGTACTTAAAGAAGTTTTTTGTATAGATGACAAGTCTTTCTTCTTAATCAATCAATCAATGCGGAAATAACGCATTACCTAAAATATTTTTTTGGATGTCAAACGGGCGCACAGTCCACCTGATGGTAAATGATTGCGGTGGCTCGTAGGTACTTACATACTTATCTTCACGCACAATCCCTAACGGGGTAGCCAGAGAGAACAGATCGCCAAGTGTCACGATCCTTACATACCTCTTTCGCTTCTTTCAGGTTCATTAACTTCTTCATACATGCACGTCTAAGTATCCGAGTACTCTTGACCCTCCCCTCTTCGAGCAATTTGCTCACATGGTCTTCGAAAGTTAGTCTCGGTCTACCTCGACACCTTTTAATATTTACTTTCGCTCTATATATTTTCTTCACCATTCGGTCTTCAACGTGCCCAAACCATTGGAGTACGCCCCTATCAATTTTTGTGATAAGGTCATATTTCAATCCTGCCATATTGCGAATCTCTTCGTTTCGCTTTCGGTCGGCTATGGTAACGCCACACATTTTACGAAGAGATCGCATCTCCACTGCATTCAACTTGCTTTTATGCTTCTTCTGGCATACCCAGGTTTCGCTGCCATATAACAAAGTCGGTACCAACACTGCGTTATGTATTGCAAGGCGTGCACTCTTCACCACGCCTTGCCTTTTTACTAATGCATTCAGGGCACCATTGACTTTGTTTCCGGCAGCGACACGCCTATCCACATCTAAATCACATCTTCCATCCCGGCTGAAAGCACTCCCCAAGTATACAATTTCATTTACCTGTTCTAGACATTCCTGATTTACCCATATTTCACATTTCGTTCTCTCTTCGTCCTTTTCAAATACCAGATACTTACATCTATCATTAATTAAGAATCAAAATGCAGATGTGTTCTCATCCGCGAGGACTATAATTCTACGTGAAGAGACTTCCTCGTCTCCAGTAAAAAGGGTCTCCGGTTCTCTACACTCACTACATTGGGAGTTTGATTTGTGAGATTTCATTGTGTGAGAGTGTGGTCCTTCCCCGGTTGAGCCGATCCATTCGTGCTATAACCATCATATAGCTACCTAGCTACCTCTACCAAGTACAAATATTTAGTTCAAACCTTCTAATTATGATGCACACATCAGTCCCTAGATTAAACCTACTTTCAATAAAAATGTAATAATGTGTGCACTGCTGGTGTCCTGTGAATAAATAAATGTCTACGGGCCACAGCATACACTTACCATCAGGTGGACTGTGTGCTCGTTTGTCATCCTTAATATTACAAACAACCGCTGTGTAACACCGATGGGAATCTTCGTTTAAAAAGCATGGCGGTAGAAAGTCGACAAAAATGTCACTAAAATACAAGAAATTAATCGCGAGCTTATCATGACGAGTTTTTAATCTTTTAATGATTACAATGTTATTTTAACAGTGAGTACAATATGAGGAAAAACCCGAAGAAAACAGACTTCGATTATTATTAAAAGATATTCTACACACACACACACACACACACACAAAAATATATATATATATATATATATATATATATATATATATATATATATATATATATATATATCAGGTGAAAAAGAATAGTGAGTCATTATCGTCAGTAGTAGTCATTATCAAGGATTTAATATAAAAAAAATTTACGACACTGGCAGTTTACACTTTAAAGGCATCGTCATCATCATTACAGCCCTTTTAACAAAAAAAAAAAACAAACAAATAGGTCCTCGGGTTAATATTGGTGGTGAATATTTATCTGATTGTGATTGAGCAGGGCCTGAACGAGCGGTGCGGGGCGTAGCACGGTGCTTGTTCTTCTTATTCTTAGAATCAACAATGACTTACATTAAAGCGTACATTTGTTTATAACGGTACGGTTTCAATTTATATTAGTGGGGGTAAACGAACAAACAGTTCACCTGATGGTAAGTGTCGACCAATGTCCATGAGCAGCTGTAACACCAGGGGAATTGCAGGTGCGTTGCCGGCCTCTTAAAAAATGAGTAAGCTTTTTTAGTTAACGAACTTAACTCTGACATGATAACTGACTTCGCTGATCAGCATGTTAAGGGCGTGTGCACACATTATCCTGTGCTGTATGTGTATAGCTTTTTGTTGAACACTTGGAGTGCTGCCCATCTCCTGTTTCCCTCTGCCGCTCTTTACATCTTCGTATGACATGACGCGATGTTCTCTCACGCCGCCACCGCATGACATGACGCCATGTTCTCTCACGCCGCCACCGCAAGACATGACGCCATGTTCTCTCATGCCACCACCGCATGACATGACGCCATGTTCTCTCGCGCCGCCACCGCATGACAAGACGCCATGTTCTCTCACGCCGCCACCGCAAGACATGACGCCATGTTCTCTCATGCCGCCACCGCATGACATGACGCAATGTTCTCTCACGCCGCCACCGCATGACATGACGCCATGTTCTCTCACGCCGCCACCGCAAGACATGACGCGATGTTCTCTCACGCCGCCTCCGCATGGCTCGCAGCGTGCAGGTTTACACGCTTTGATTATATATATGTCTATATGCCACATTGTCCGTACAAAACGGCACAAATAAAGTCTACTAAAATTGGTAGACTCGCTTCTCACCTACGTCAGTGTCATTTGAATCATTAAGGGATAACGTGCTCACGGAAAATAATTAATTATGCCGATTTGTGCTGTTAAATTATGTCGCAATTATGTGAGAAAACCGTATAATAACACTAAGAGCACTTTTCATCAATAAGTTTTGTTATTTAACCACTATTGTTGTATGAAAACACGATGTTTTAATTCGTTACTTTGTAGGTTAGTCTGATCAGCCGATGTTGTCAGTCCATTACAGGTAGTTTTGACGAAACTATGGGAGACAAAAACAAACATTATTACATCATCTTTCGATCAGGAGAACATTATTATATTAAAAATTACTTTCGTTATTTGATCAGTAAATGTTATGTCCTACACAAAAAAATGAAACCCATGACGTCATGCACTAAATAGTATTTTTGTTAGTTCTTTCAAATATTCTTATATATTTAAATAAAATAAATAAAACTAATCTACATAATAATTACTTTATTAAACTATTTTGTATAACTTTCATTTGATAAAACAAGTATATAATCAAAGCCCTTTGGTCTCCCCTGGCGAGGTCATCTGGTTGGATTTTATTTATTTATTTTATTTCATTTTCATTTATATATTTATAAAACTATAACTAAAACTACATAAATACCAAAAGTAACTATATAAATACCAATAAACATGGTAGGTACATTAAAGATGACAAAAAGTTGTACATAGTCTACATGTTTACCATATCCGACATGTGAAATTAACATAATATATCAAATCATTATTTTTATAAGTAAGCAAATCAATATATAAATAATTTATATCAAATTAAATTAAATAATTAAAAGTACAATTGTGTAACTAGGCAAATCAAAATAGGTATATATAAAAAAATTAAAATGTCAAATGAGTACTTAATCTAATGGGAAATATTCAAGAGCTGGTATCAGCTAGAGCTAGCCCCCGAGTGTCGCAGCGCTCCTGTTAAACAATAGCAGTTACGCATACTTGTGTGTGTAATAAGCACACAAGCTCTCGAAATCGGACCCGTTGTTTTTGTTACGATTGTAGCGCAACACTCTATCTAGACATGTATATAATCAAAGTTTACACGCGATCATTTTTGTTCTTATTTAAGGGGACGAAAGAGCATGCAGCTCAGCTGATGGTAAGTGACTGCCCCTGCCAATGAAGAGCAGGGCAATTACAGATGCGTTGCCAGCCTTTAGAAAAAGGTGTAGGCTCTTTTCTAGAAGTTCCCTAAATCGTATCATCATCATCATCATTACAGCCCTTCACAAATCCACTGCTGAACATAGGCCTCCCCCAAGTAATGCCACAAAGCACGGTCCTGAGCCACCTGCATCCATCGACTTCCGATGTAGCGGCGCTGTCGTCGCGCCACAAGCGAAATACACCGAAGCTTAAATCACGCTATCAACATTCCGAATCATAGACAGTATATATAGAACTTCTCCGAACTATCACTCGGAGCGTTGGCCGCTTCCCGGGCAGAACACCTTGCTCGGCGGGAGATCTCCCCTTTTCCTACTACGGCCACAGTGGTGACCCCGACGTGATCTGAACACGTAACCAAACAACCTTCGGAAACTTCAAGCTTCATTATAGTCATAGAATACCCCACCCATTCGCTCCCGCGCAAATATCGTCTGCAAGTCTTCATATCCTGCAAGCCATCTAGCTTCACAAGGTTCATCGCAGCACTGGAATAATAATGCTTCCTGTTCCTTCAAGCTACTCTCTGCGCTATACAGTGTTCGGCACGGCTCTGAGCCTTACTGCTCGCCTCTGCTTCACGGCACTCTCGCAGATTACTTGCCTTCTTCTCGACTCACCGCAGACTACAAGGCAAATCTCCTGGCACTTGCATATTCGTCGGCAACGAGGCTGCACTATCGACCTCCGGTCTGAGCAGGGGGTGATGTAGCGGCGCTGTCGTCACGCCACAAGCGAAATACACCGAAGCTTAAATCAGCAACATTCCGAATCATAAACAGCATATATAGAACTTCTCCGAATTATCACTCGGAGCGTCGGCCGCTTCCCGGGCAGAACACTTTGCCCGGCGGGAGATCTCCCCTTTTCCTTCTACGGCCACAGTCTCGTCGGGGCCTCCCACTGTGGCCGTAGAAGTAAAAGGGGAGATCTCCCGCCGGGCAAGGTGTTCTGCCCGGGAAGCGGCCGACGCTCCGAGTGATAGTTCGGAGAAGTTCTATATATGCTGTTTATGATTCGGAATGTTGATAGCGTGATTTAGACTTCGGTGTATTTCGCTTGTAGCGCGACGACAGCGCCGCTACATCTGCATATCTTACCAGGTCGTCACTCCATCTAGTGGGGGGTCGCCCTACACTACGCCTACCGGTACGAGGCTGCCACTCGAAGAACCTTTCTTCCCCATCGGTTATCGGTTCTTCGAGCTATATGGCCGGCCCATTGCCACTTCAGCTTACTAATCCGTTGGGCTATGTCGGTCACTCTGGTTCTACTGCGGATATCCTCATTTCTGAGTCTATCACGCAGAGGAACTCCGAGCATAGCCCTCTCCATAGCTCGCTGAGCGACCTTGAGCGTCCTCATACATCCAGCAGTGAAGGACCACGTCTCAGATCCGTAAGTCATCACTGGCAACACGCACTGGTTGTACAATCTAGTTTTTAGAGATTGAGGTATACCTGACGAGAAGATATGTCGTAATTTTCCGAACGCTGCCCAGCCGAGTTGAATCCGTCGATTGACCTCTCGGTCGAAGTTGGACTTACCTAGTCGGACTATTTGTCCCAGGTAAACGTACTCGTCAACAACTTCGAGCATAGTGCTCCCAACAACTACCGGCATAGGTGTGACATGGACATTAAACATGATCTTTGTTTTGTCCATGTTCATCTTAAGACCTATCCGTTGGGAGGCACTATTGAGGTCATTGAGCATAGTGCTTAAGTCCTCCAGCGATTCTGCCATAAGGACTATATCGTCGGCAAATCGAAGGTGAGTGATGTACTCGCCATTGATGTCAATACCGTATCCTTTCCAGTCCAGTAGCTTGAAAACGTCTTCCAATGCAGCGGTGAAGAGTTTCGGGGATATAACGTCACCCTGTCTTACACCTCTCTGCAGTTGGATAGGTTTCGAGCTCTGGTTCTGTACTCGGATAGCCATCGTAGCCCTACTGTACAAACACTTCAGCACTTCGATATACCGACAGTCAACTTGGCACCGCTGGAGGGACTGTAGCACCGCCCAAATTTCGACGGAATCAAAGGCTTTCTCATAGTCCACATACGCCAGGCAAAGTGGCAGATTGTACTCTTCAGTTTTCTGTACAATCTGCCGCAGGGTATGTATGTGGTCTATGGTACTGAAGCCTTTTCGGAAACCGGCTTGTTCGGGAGGCTGGAAGTCGTCGAGTCTGCGTGCGAGACGATTCGTAATGACTCTCGAAAACAGCATATAGACGCGGCTCAGAAGGGAAATCGGTCTGTAGTTCTTTAAGAGAGCGTAGTCGCTTTTCTTAAAGAACAAGACCACCGCACTTCTGCTCCACGTCTCTGGAGTAGTGCCGCCATGGAGGACGGAATTGAAAAGCTTCTGAAGGACTTCAAATACCGGTGTTCCACCCGCTTTCAGAAGCTCCGCTGTAATTCCATCCTCGCCTGGGGCCCTGCCGTTTTTAAGGTGCTGGAGAGCCATTCTAATCTCGCTTAGACTGACGTCCGGGATATCATCGGAATAGTGTCGGATAAGACTTGCTCTTGGATCGTTACTCACACTTACGTGTGGCTCCAACGATGATGTGTACAGCTGCCCATAGAACCTCTCAATCTCACTCAATATCTCAGGTGTCCCGGAAACGATGCTGCCACACTCAGTCTTCAGCTTTGACAGTTGGCTCTTACTGGCAGACAGATCTCTGGCAAAGACTTTGGAGCCCTGGTTCCGCTCGATCGCTTCTTTAATACGAGAAGTATTAAAGTTGCGTAAGTCTCGCCGCATGCATTTGGAGATCTGTCTGTTCAGTTGCCTGTATGCTGTCAAATCTGTTGACGATTGTAGCCTCATCTCCCGTCTAACAGCCATGAGATTAAGAGTGTGATCGGAGAGTTTTTGTGTTCTTCTGCGGCGGGTCTTGCAGAACTTAGCTCCGACCGCATGGACAGTTTCCACGAGCTTGTCATTCATATAGGTCCTAAATCGTATCGGTCCGGAAAAATCGCTGGTGCAAGTTGATTCCATTCAAGGAAGTTGTGCAAGGGAGAAAACTTCTTCTAATTCGCACAGTGGTGGACGGCCAATCATCCTGACCTAACACGGCTCCTTAGATATCTTGTACAATGACAATGTGTTCCAGTTTGAATAAATTGTTCTGTAATATTTTGTGTGTCTGTTGTTATGTTAGGCAGTATTCACAATGTTTGTCAACGCTTTCTGTAGAGTACACTGGGATGCAATAAGACGGCATCCAATCTGCAGTATCAACAATGCTCGAGTATTGTTTAGCCGAGGACGTTAAACAATAGTGTTGATAAATATGCTGTATAATATAATATTACGGTAATCTTCTGGATTAGGAGTCTTGCTTCGTTTATAAAGTATCAATAAACATTTAAGCATATATTTTAAAAGTGGACCACGCTTTTGCAGATTACCAGCGTAAAATACCGGCTTAATGCTGCTGTGTTTCTTGTGGTGAATGTAGAGAACCAGAGACCCTTTTTATTGGAAACGATGCCTTTCATCTAAGTTCTCAGGGGATACAAATACAACTCAAAAAATACAAATAATTTTAAATCGATGATAAAATAGATGTCTGTGGATCATAGCATCCACTTACCGCCTGGCGGACTGTGTGCTTGTTTGTCACACGT